AGCTATGATCCCTTATTGATGTTACAGTACTTGTTAAATCCACTTCAATCAGTGTAGGTGAAGGGGAGGAGACAGGATAAAAACAGATTTTTAAACCTGGATACAATTGAGACATGGATTCTGTATGTGTGCCATTCAAAAAATGTAAGTGCCTTTGCACAGGGTATTGTAGTAGGTGCCAGGTGCACCAGTTTGTGTTAAGAACTGCAATGCTGATGGGTTTTTCACGCTCAACAGTTTCCCGTGTGTGTTAAGAATGGTCCACCACCCAAAGGACATCCAGCCAACTTTACACAACTGTGGGCCAGCATCCCTGTGGAACACTTTCGACACCTTGTAGAGTCCATTCCCCAACGAATTGAGGCTGTTCTGAGGGCAACTCAATATTAGGAAGTCCTTTCTGGGTAACAATCAAGTACCTTCCTGCAATAGATTTCCATTAAAATTGGCAAAAATAGCTTTTTAGCAAAAAACGATTTCTCAAGCAAGAATTTTGCTAGTACTGTCTGGGAGTGGCCTGAGTGTGAAGGCGAAAACTGAAAACTAGCTGTTATTGGCAGAGATGGTGATGTCACCATGGAAAGCCGACACTCCCCCCATGCAAACCTGCTGATTAGAAGGTCCTGTGTAGATTTTATTTTCAACCAGCAACTATCAGGAAATAACACTGATAAAAAATATTGTTTCATCAGCTGTTGTACAATATGATATAAAACAGAGGAAAAACTGAATTGTAACTGGACTGGGCCTTTTAAATGTTTCATATTATTGTTACTAATGGTTCATTAGCTGTGATATTGTAATCTGTTTTCTCATTACATTAAGACATAGTGCTACAGCTTAAAACCCCACAACACTATTTGTAGTAATAACACCATACACACTGTGAGTAACTTAATATCGAGGCCTAAGTGTCGTGATATGGATAATCTTTATTGAAAGAGTTTCATCATTATATTATAATAACATTTTTTTGTTTCACAGCAGCTACAGAGGCATGTAGTGCATGCACTATCCCAAACACTATAATCAAACAAACAAACAAACAAACAAACAAACAGACGGTTCCACTTGCCTGTACATTGGTACATCGTTTTTTAGTATTATTTTTTAGTATACTGTATTAGCCATTATTTTATGCTTGTGATACCTGTAGCATGATGTACTACAGTACCCATAATGCTCTGTAGATGCTACAGTATCAGAGATATGACCGGAACATTTTCCAGATTGATTTACAAGTCGGACAACAGACACAAACAGACACTCAGTTTCATCATCACCATCATCAAAATCACCATCACCCAAACATTACAAATTCCACGTCTAAACCTGCAGAGTGCAGAGATCCAACCCACTATCTGTTCCTAGGTGGTCTGTACTGAGTTAGACTAGGGTTACCATAGGATACTGTACACTTCTTACACTCTGTTGTAAACCGTTTTACATCAATACATCAACCTTTTACACCTAGAGTTCAAACTCTAACTGAACAAGTGCTAGCGTTTATTTAATAAGGAAAGGCTGTTGCGTTCAAATATTGTTCAAACAAGTTGTTTACCTAAAGCACATATGAAATGGCGGGTTTCACATTGAGCTGAAATTTCACACGTGAAACCATATTTTCACATGAATTAAATGTAAAGTTCACATGTTAACGCCACCTTTTCACATGTGAGGAAAATAACATGTTTTCACCTCACATGTGAATTGCAAGTTTACATTTGAAAAACATTAACGTGTGAAAATCACATTTGCAGTTTCACATGTAAGAAAACCCCATATGTAAATCTCACTTTCACACGTGGAATTGCAAGTGAAATAGTGTTGTTTACATTTTAGTCATTTAGCAGACGATTTTATCCAGACCAACTTACAGGAGCAATTAGGGTTAAGTGTCTTGCTCAAGTGACTTCGACAGATTTTTCACTTAGTCAGCTTGGGATTTGAACTAGCGACCTTTCGATTACTGGCCCAATGCTCCTAACCACTTATTCTCCTCACATATGAAAAGGTGGTGTTATGTTGCAGTAGCAATGTTTTCCACAAATGATTACTTAACCTGTTAGAGTATAATAATTAAAGTGTGTTAAAAATATTTAGTTATTATTTATGAGGCATCCACTCCATTATTTTTGTAGTCCTCCATGGTGTTGCATTGATATACATCTATACTTAGCGCTACCACTAGGCAGAGGCATTCACAGTGTTACTGCTGCAGGTGCGCACCTCTCTTTTCCGTACGTTAGTCCGTGACCATTGGAAGAACCAGGGATACCTACTTTGCCAACACCAGGACCAGCTGGCACAACTGGGGACAGAAATGGATGAGGTCCTCCGCGTTCTTCAATGTCTCGACATTACCCGAGGGGCGTCACCTCCAACTAGCGGAGGATTCTCTACAACGAGTCGACCCAGCGAGCCAGCACCCCAGCGCATCCAGCAGTCCGCCCAGTGCTCCCACCACGAGAGGTCCAAGGTTGCCACGGTTATTTTCCCGCTGACCTGTTCCAGCAGGTCTCAGACCTGCCCCCAATTCAAGTCACAGGTATGGAAAGCCTTCATGGAGAAGCTGGGGGTGACGGTCGGCCTCACTTCCGGGTACCGGCCTCAGTCTAACGGGCAGGTAGAACGGATGAACCAGGAGCTCAACAGTTTCCCATGTGTATCAAGAATGGTCCACCACCCAAAGGACATCCAGCCAATTTGCCACAACTGTGGGAAGCATTGGCGTCAACATGGGCCAGCAACCCAGTGGAACGCTTTCAACACCTTATAGAGTCCATGCCCCGATGAATTGTGGCTGTTCTGAAGGCTCAGTGTATCTTTCCAAAGAAACTACCGGTAATTTGAAAACTTGGCATAATAATTCTGTCATGCTGCTTTGTGTACCAGTCCTGTCTACAACCAAAATGTATTCTGATTTATCAGTTAGCATTCAATAAACAATTAATTAATACATAGTACATATTAACATAACAACAACCATGTGCAAATCAGAGTAAACATATACAGTAAATAACATTACATTCAATAATAACAAATAAAAAATGAAATCATTAACAGTATAAAAATAGTTGATACACAATTACTAAATCTGTTATTTTTTACCAAATAATATTTTCCATTCTGTGTTGTTGAATGTAATTGAAGACCACTGGACAGACCACAACAGAACAAACATGTCGAGATGAGGGTACATCAGAAATCTAGAAAAAACCTATAGAACCTAGAGAATCCTAGAGAACCTATAGATCCCTCCAGGACCCTATAGAATCATAGATAACCCTATGGAAAATATAGAATGCTCCAGAACCCTATGGAACATATAGAACACTACAGAACCCTATGGAACCCCATGGAACCTACAGAACCTCCAACCCATGTAGATAAAGTAGTATGTTACAGCTCCAAAATATCTCTGTCTTTCTCTCTTTATAGAAGAGATATACTGCTCCCTTCTTTCACTCTTGTATTGATGCATTGAGAAGCACCAAAAAATCTACAAAAGTCCTCTTATTTTTTTGACAGACTTTTCCTACACCAGTAGTTTGCATCATAGCAGATAACCTATTTGATGAAAACCGTAGAGAGTTACTGCATTAGTAAGCATACATTAAAGCATGCATTACTCTGAAAGCAAGCCTTGAAGGGCTTGGTTGGAGCGTCAGCATAGATAGACATGCTTGCGTCTGACTGTAGTTGCTGTTATTCTATAGACAGGATAATATACCCACATACAAGTACAACACTGAACCTGCTGGAGGAAGTTTGTGGATGACCTATGACCTAACAGCTATTTACTCTGAGTATGATGCTGCTGTAAGCTCTATGTGAGTTTCTCATGGCATTTAAAAAACTGCCACTAGCACAGCGCTCTTGATCTGCCCTCTACCTACAGTACTGTTTAGAAGTCTCCAACCACACAAGGCCTGACCAGTGCCATATTTACAAATAAGTAAATGTATGGCTCTCAGCCTGACTACTCAACCAGCCATAAGGAAGAGAAGAAGTCATCTGTTGTATTAATGGTAGTGTGGAAGTTAAAGAAACAGCTGTCTGCTGTGTTAACCTGCTCAGTTAGCAACTAGGCCTACACTACCATTATTAATATGACATCAGTCAGCTGTGTAAAAGTCTTGTCCAATACAAAATCAACCTTTAAAGGGGTGCATATATACATACATACTGTATATACTTCTATATACATGAATAGTATAGAGTGAAAAAGGTAATGTATGAATATGTTCACTTTTAAATTAAGGCTTTGCCGTGCTCTCTGTGTGTGTGCACATTACTTCTATCAATCTCCAATTGCAAGGTGGTTGTTAGTTTAGGTTGTTGTCCATTTTCCAACAGATTCTCTTTGTGTTGAATTTTTTTGATATAGGTACAGAAAAGGCCAAAAGAGTCTAAAAAGATCATGTCTCGTAACTTACCCTTACAATGTACTGTACCGCCTAGATAGAGAAGAGCGGCATGAGCGCACACAGAACACTACACCCTCTCTCACTCCAATCCTCATTGGCTAGTACAGCTTAAATTCATTCCAACAGGGTCAGAGGAATAGTAAGGGCTTAGAGGAAGTGGAAGCTGCCAATTCTAGGTTGTGTGTCGAATGGCACTCTTTTCCCTATATAGTCCACTACCTTTGACCAGAGCCCTTTGGGAATAGGGTGCCATTTGAGACCCAAGCCTAGCAGTTCAGTTAGTGTTGTCTATGCTGCCATGGTTCCTTTGTATACATAATCCATATAGTAGGCCTACGATACATACCCCCATACCCACATAGTACAGTATGTTATACTCATATCATTTACATTTACATTTACATTTAAGTCATTTAAGTCATTTATCACTTACAAAGTATTGGACAAATGGTTCAAGAGAGTGACAGATAGCAAGCAGGAGAGGAAGAGGGGAAAAGGTGGAGAAAGGGAAAGGGTGGAGGACTACAGAGTTCTACAGAGGGAGGAAGAGGGAGAGAGACGGTCTTACTGGGAAAGAGGGGAGGGGGATGAAGAGGGGTGATCAGAGGGTCGCTGATCAGCAGCATGCGGATTTATGAGGGAGGTCTTGGCAGAACCGGACACCTGGAGAGAAGAAGGAGAGAGCAAAAAATAAACAAGGCAGTGAGTCAAATTAGCCTGCAGGCTTTGATTATATCTGATAATATAGTCTTTATTGTGAGTGGGAAGAACTGTGGCGTTGAATTTCACTAGACTCAGCTGGCGTCTAATGCTGAAATTAACTCAGAGGCTGCGTCCCAAATGGCACCATATTCCCTGTATAGTACACTACTCTTGACCAGAGCCTTATGGTTAAAAGTAGTGCACTACATAGAGAATAGGGTGCCATTTGGGACATATCCATAGTCCAACTCCTTATGTCCACCCAGCCAACTAGAAGGCAAGATGAAGCCATACTAATAAGCATAATTCTACCCAATAGGGGGTATATTAGGGGCTCTCTGGCCATTTGGAATTCAGCATGAGAGAGAGAGAGAGAGAGAGAGAGAGAGAGAGAGAGAGAGAGAGAGAGAGAGAGAGAGAGAGAGAGAGAGAGAGAGAGAGAGAGAGAGAGAGAGAGAGAGAGAGAGAGAGAGAGAGAAATACACAAGGAAAAGAATCTGCCATCTTAGATTATGTCTGTTATGACATACTCATTCAATATTTAATATTCTCCCTCCCCCTCCTCACCTAACGAGCTGGGTCACTAGCTGGCAGTCTGTTCTGGCTGGATGACGTGGTACAGCTTGGCTAGGTTGTCCTGGTTCTGGTTGTCGCAGTGCTGCACATCACTCCTGGAAACAGCAACAGCAGAGTGGACACTCAGAGACACGCTATGCAACACCAGGCAGGGCAGGGCAAGCGGGAGGCAGTCAGGAAGCACAGCATAGCAGTTAAGGGAAGGGAGGCAGTCAGGAAGGTAGGCTGCAGCAGTGCAGCATAGCAGTGAAGGGAAGGGAGGCAGTCAGGAAGGTAGGCTGCAGCAGTACAGCATAGCAGTTAAGGGAAGGGAGGCAGTGAGGCATAAGGCATACAATTTAAATAATCTTTAATGAGATGTAATAATGCTTTGAAAGTTATTGTCTGCGTTCCAGGTAGGCTACATTATAGTATTTGAGCATCTACAAAAAGACTAGCTATATAAATCCAATCAATTATTATTCATTGATGTGTCGTTCTACCAATTAGGTGCCTTTTGAGTAGTGTAACTTGGTGGGGAAAAAAACATTATTTTAACAATCTGTCACAGAGAGCACGTTCTTAATAAAAAACATGTTTTCCCATCTCAAGAGGTTAGTTAACCCAAATTACAAAATTACATATTGATTTCCTTACCCTGTAATCAGTCTACGGACAAGGTATGACAGCAATCCATGATTTGGTTTAGTTTCCCTGGCATTGTTTCCACATGCTAAAATGTTAGCATTTATGGCACAAATCCCATTCAAGTCATAGGACCGATCTGAGCATTCTTTTGCGCATCATGTTCAAATCATCCGTAAATGACTATGTTGAGCTTCACAATACATTTTAGATACTTTTGGATGATTTGGACATGATGCGCAAAAAAATGCTAATATGGATAAATGTTGGTATTAAGTGGGTTAAAGTCTTACTAGAAGTCACAGAGGATGCACATGTCAAAATGCTGAATTTATGCACTTTAGCAAGTCTTTATTTATGGAATTGTCCATGTAGTCTATATTAAAAGGCACTTAATTTAATATAACAGGCTTTTAGAATTCAATATTTGTCCACAATCTTTACTTAAAATATCAAAGGGACACAAAAGCACTAATTTTGTGGAACAACCCTGTTATCAAGCATGCCACACAGTAGCATGGTATAGTACAGGCCTGCAGGGGGATCCAATACATAACGGCAGCCAGGTCTGTGACGGTGGTGGGCAGTCTTACCTGTTGTCATTGATATCTGTAGTGTTCCCTGTGGATGGATGAAGCAGGTGTCAGGGGTGAGGATGCAGTCAGACCAGTGTATAGTGAACAGTGAGGAGAGCAGACCATAGAAATAGAATTACACTAATTAAATCTACTGTATTTCTATGGAGCAGACCGAGTGAGGAGTGGGTCAAAGTGGGGAACATTGAATACTGTTAACCTTACCGTTGACGCTGTCCACATCCACCGTATCTGTAGAGTTGACTGTAGGGTTCTTCAATGTAGTGCCCTTTTCTGAAGTGTTCTTCTCTGTAGGGTGCTTCACTGGGGAATTATCCACTGTGGAGGCATTGTCCACTGCTGGGTTTTCCACTGCAGTCTTCTGCACTGTAGAGTCCTTTACTGTGCCGTTGTCTACTGTGGTGGTGTTGGGTGGCTCAGCTGGCAGCCTACAGGACAGACAGAGGCCCATCAGTCATCTAGTCATATGAATGTACAGTATTTATAATAATAATAATAGTTTAATTATAAGCTCATACACAGAGAGCTCCGTTCCTACGTTTGTACTCACGTCTTGGTCTGATGGAGGCTGGTCTCAGTGGAGTGGTGATTGTTGGTCTGGGTGGGGTTGGAGTTTGGTGCTGTAGCTGGGGGAGCAGCAGGGTGGCTGCTGTGATGGCTAGCTGTCTGGCTGGGGGTCTGGAACATGGCGTTACTAAAATGGATGGAGTGCTGCTGTTCAGTAACGCGAACCCACGGGTTGGTGGGGGAGCAGAGCGGAAACTGGCCCGGACGGACCGGCTTGGCTGGGAAGAGAACATAGCAACGTTGGTATCAAAATCATCACTGTCATCATCATGGCTCTGCAGATTTTGCTATGAAGAGACAGAATTATTAGATCATTTGTTTTGGTACTGTCCATTTGTAGCTTGCTTTTGGTCACAGATCCAGGAATGGCTGAAGGATTGCAATATTTACCTGGAGCTAACCCTACAGATAGGTGATCTGAAAAGTCATAGTCAATCGATCAATAATATAATAATACTTTTAGAAAAACATTTTATCTTTAATTTACAATCCGTAGAAACTATAGAAAGGTTCAGAACCTTTGTGAAACATCACAGCACAGCTGTAAAATATATGGCAAATAGAAATCCAATATGGATGGTGTTAAGAGATAGGTGGGAGGGGTTGAGTGGAGGTGAAGGGTGGGACTAATAAAAACAAGATAACTAATGAAAAATATACTGTGTCTGTAAAATGTATATAGGTTCAGAACTTTAATGAAACAGCACAGCTAGAAATATATGGCAAATAGAAATCAAACTGGATGGTCTTCAGAAATAGATGGGAAGGGGTTGAAGATAGCAGAAGGACAGGAGTAAAAACAAACAAAAGATAACTATTGTAAAATAGATTGTGTCCGTAAAATGTATATACTATGTATAAGCTGGAAGAAGAAACCTAAGTGTTGTTGTTCATTAGTTTACTCCAATTATGGGAGGGGAGGCAGGGTTAGTCAAAAATAAAAAAATAAAAAATACATTGTCATCATCATCATCATCACCATCATTGTGTGTGAGTTACCTACCTGAGTGGTGTGCATGCGTGGATGTTGATGCCCGTGCCTGTGTGTGTGTGTCCGTATTATTACCTATCTGGGCAGCATGTGGCCTGCGGAGGGGGTTCTTGGCCCTCATAACGTCTTTGATCCTCTCCACTTCCTGTTGATAGCGTCTTCGGTCCTTCATGGCCCCTTCCTTAGCCTCTTTCAGTGCACCCTCCAACGCCCGCACTCTCTCAGCCGTAGACCGAAGACGCTTCTCCAGCTTAGGAAGCTCACAACGCAGGTCTGCATTGTCACGTACCAACTGGAGAGAAAAGAGAGAGAAAAGAGAGAGAAAAATAGCCTGAGGATAACAACGCACCTAATATTCACTATAGGAATATACACTATATATACAAAAGTATACGGACACCCCTTCAAATTAGTGGATTTGGCTTTTTCAGCCACACCTGTTGCTGACAGGTGTATAAAATCAAGCACACAGCCATGCAACTCCATAGACCAGGGTTCTTCAATTCCGGTCCTGGAGGGCCGAAACACCTCTGTTTTTCATTCTCTCCTTCTAATCAGGGGCTAATTCAGACCTGGGACACCAGGTGAGTGCAATTAACTACGAGGTAGAAATAAAAAACAGAAGTGTTTCGGCCCTCCAGGACCGGAATTGAAGAACACTGCCATAGACAAATATTGGCAGTAGAATGGCCTTACTGAAGAGCTCAGTGACCTTCAATGTGGCACCATCATAGGATGTCACCTTTCCATCAAATCAGTTAGTAAAATGTCTGCCTTGCTAGAGCTGCCCTGGTCTACTGTAAGTGCTGTTATTGTGAAGTGGAAAAGTCTAGGAGCAACAACGGCTCAGCCGCGAAGTGAAAGGCCACACAAGCTCACAGAACGGGACCGCTGAGTGCTGTAGCACGTAGCGCGTAAAAATCGCCTGTCCTCGGTTGCAACACTCACTACCGAGTTCCAAACTGCCTCTGGAAGCAACTTAAGCACAATAACTGTTTGTAGGGAGCTAAAATAGACTGTTTGTGCATTGTTACCTCTGGAATTGTGACATTTGTATTTAGCAAGTGTCTATTTAGTGTTAAACTCTCAGTGCCAATATGTATAGGGTATATCTTATGATAAATGTGTAAAATGCATGAACAGCAAACTAAGGGACTAAGTGAAACTAAGGGGACTGCGAGGGAAAGTTAGGTAGAGAGGAGGAGCAGGACGGCCTTTATGGTCCCTCATGCTTTTGTGTAATGTATCTAATCCTCTCTTCCCATTGTTTCTGTGCAGTCTTCAGATATCAGGAGGAGGCTGTCCTCTAAGATAGATGGCCTGGCTGCAGCCTTAGCTGCAGGGATGCTGGCACTCAACTCCGGGAACACCACCCCCTGTTCTGTGGAGACAGGCTTCAGTGAGCAGTGTCTAGACACGCCCCACTACACTCCAGGCTCCTCTGTTTCCTCCCAGGGAGGAGGAACGCCCTACACCCTTCGCTCCGGGACTCCGTTCTCACAGGACTCGGCCTACGCTGTTGCCAGGTCAGTCTGTCATGTCACCACACATAAAGTTCCCTCTCAGGAAACAAAAGTTATTTTGTCACTGGTGAAATTTATGGGGTCTTTGGAAGATCATTAAAAAAAATTATAACATGAGGTAGTCATGAAAACCTGACCCTAGGCAAGTGATTAAGGTCTGGTTTCAATAACAGACTCTTTTGGCAAATTCTATAAGGGATAGACAATTGTTCCGGGATGGGTTCTCTTCAGACAGAACACTCCCAACAAATCACGAGGCAGACAATGTCAAAATGTCGCAATTCAAAACCAAAATTTGCAGGCAAAACCTTTGCAATGGTTTTAGTGGAGGTAGTTGATGCAAACTCGACACTTGCGAAATACACTAAGTAAAAATAACCTCTGGGATCTCTATCTTGCTAGCTACTATTTTGTATTTTATTCAAGCAGATAAGGCAGTGATGTAGTTCCTCTATGCCAAACTGATGTTCTATTACATACAGACGCTGTTAAGGGAGCATTTGAAAATTGTGGGAGGCTAGAGAGACTAGCATAACAGCTCAGTTAGAGTTGAGCAATTATCCAAATATATATTTTTCTATTCATTAGGTTCACAATATTCAATGTGTAAACTTGTATTTTTTGAAACCATCTTTCTACCATTGTGTTTCTGTCAGACATGTTGGATACAGCGCTGGGCCAGTGGCTACCCTCCCCAGGACATGTTGCCCTCCTCTCCCTGCTCCTCCTCTGCTGTCTCTTCCTTAGTCGGGGCATAGGCCTACAAAGCTCCCAGTTACCCAGAGGCCCCTCCTCAAGACCCCTATCACAGGGGTCGCCCCACAAACCCCCCTACTGCACCCTTCCGTCCTAACGAGCCCCCGCTCTACCTTACATATCCTAATGCTGGGGGGGCTGGACAGCTCATGGCACACCACCCTGGGATGCACCCCAGGCAGACAGGGACAGAGAGCGGGACAGGGATTCAGGAGGGCAGTATGGTGCAGGTGGGATCGTCTCTAGAAGGTAATCTTACCAGGAGGCCAACTCTTCCTCCAAGTATTCACACCACTCGCACCACACAGAGCGAGAGAGAGGGTCTACAGACGGAACAGCCTGGGCTCCAGAGGCCACGGCAGACACTGTAACCACCACTCACACAACCACAGCAGCTACCACAGTCTGTGAATAATGTGAGGTAAAATTCAGTGTTATACGAGATGTGAATATCAGTGACAAAAAGGTTTTGCCTTGGTATCGTGATACTTTGGCGTGGCATTGTTTTGTGGGTAAAATTTGGCATCGCGACAACCCTAATAAATAATGTCATTTTATATGGGTTTAGCTGCATTTCAGGTGAACCCCGAGTCCATTTTGACACATGTAAGATGTTTTCAATCATCTATTTCAGTGTTCATGCTTTAAATGACAGCACTTTCAATTTCACACCTATTTAGACAAGGCCATATTTTGACTATTTTGTTATTTTTGTATTACAAGCAATCTAACATCTTCCCAGTTACTTTTTTCGTATGTGGTTAGACAATGTTAGAAAAACAATAAACATTAAAAGGTGTTAACATTAAATAATCTGTTGTCATGATTCTTGAAAGTTAATGTGTTTAATGCATGCACAAAAAACATTATGCCTCAGTTATGACTCCAAATGCTCCGAGCTGGCTCTTCCTGTACATATCTCCTTGAAGCAAAAAAAAAAAAGAGGCTTTTCTGGAGCAGTGAATGATACATGAATGAGCTCATGAGGATACAATGATAAGATCTCATCTATTTCTCATACTTCTCAAATGTAAGTCTCAATCAAAGCTTATTTGTCTCATGAAAGTCTCAATAATTCATTCTCTTCTTCATCTCCTCCTAAGGGGGCCTTAGGAAAAACAGTTCAGATAAACAATGCCTTCACAAAGTATCCGTTCCTCTTGACTTATTCCACATTTTGTTGTGTTACAGCCTGATTTCAAAATGGATACAATTTACCCGTCTACACGCAATACCACATAATGTGAAAACATGTTTTGAGAAATCTTTTCAAATGTATTGAAAATGAAATACAGCTATAGCTCATTTACATAAGTATTCACACCCCTGAGTCAATCCTTTTTTTTCTTATTTTCTTTTGAGTCAATACTTTGGCAGCGATTACAGCTGTGAGTCTTTTTGGGTAAGTCTCTAAGAGCTTTGCACACTTGGATTGTGCAACATTTGCCCATAATTTTTTTTTCAAAATTCTTCAAGTTCTGTCAAATTGGTTGTTGATCATTGCTACACAACCATTTTCAGGTCTTGCCATAGATTTTCAAATAGATTTAAGTTAAATCTGTAACTCGGCCACTCAGGAACATTCACTGTCGTCTTGGTAATCAACTCCAGCATAGATTTTGCCAAGTGTTTTAGGTTATTGTCCTGCTGAAAGGTGAATTAATCTCCCAGTGTCTGGTGGAAAGCAGACTGAACCAAGTTTTCCTCTAGAATTTTGGCTGTGCTTAGCTCCATTCCATTTCTGTTTTTATCTTGAAAAACCCTCCAGTCCTTAACTATTACAAGCCATAACATGATGAAGCCAGTAAAGTGTTGTATTGGATTTGCCACAAACATAATTCAGGACAAAAAGTTAACTGCTTGCCACAGGTAGAAGGAATTGTCCGTAGAGCTCCGAGACAGGATTGTGTCAAGGCACAGATCCAAAATGTTCTGCAGCATTGAAGGTCCCCAAAAACACAGTTGCCTCCATCATTCTTAAATGGAAGAAGTTTGGAACCACCAAGACTCTTCCTAGAGCTGGCCGCCAGGCCAAACTGAGCAATCGGGGGAGAAGGGCCTTGGTCAGGGAGGTGACCAAGAACCCGATGGTCACACTGACAGAGCTCCAGAGTTCCTCTGTGGAGATGGGAGAACCTTCCAGAAGGACAACCATCTCTGCAGCACTCCACCAATCAGGCATTTGTGGTAGAGTGGCCAGACGGGAGCCACTCCTCAGTAAAAGGCACATGACAGCCCGCTTGGAGTTTGCCAAAAGGCACCTAAAGGACTGACCATCAGAAACTATGGCCTGAATGTCAAGTGTCACGTCTGGAGGAAACCTGGCACCATCCCTACGGTGAAGCATGGTGGTGGCAGCATCATGCTGTGGGGATGTTTTTCAGCGGCAGGGACTGGGAGACTAGTCAGGATTGAGGGAAAGATGAACGGAGCAAAGTACAGAGAGATCCTTGATGAAAACCTGCTCCAGAGCACTCAAGACCTCAGACAGGGGCAAAGGTTCACCTTCCAACAGGACAACGACCCTAAGCACACAGCCAAGACAACGCAGGAGTGGCTTCGGGACAATTCTCTGAATGTCCTTGAGTGGCCCAGCCAGAGCCCGGACTTCAACCCGATCTAACATCTCTGGATAGACCTGAAAATAGCTGTGCAGCGATGCTCTCCATCTAACCTGACAGAGCTTGAGAGGATCTGCAGAGAAGAATGGGAGAAACTCCCCAAATACAGGTGTGCCAATCTTGTAGCATCATTCCCAAGAAGACTCGGGCTGTAATCGCTGCCAAAGGTGCTTCAACAAAGTACTGAGTAAAGGGTCTGAATACTTATGTAAATGTGATATTTCAAAAAACCTGTTTTTGCTTTGTCATTATGGGGTATTGTGTGTAGATTGATGAGGGAAAAAACAATTTAATCCATTTTAGAATAAGGCTGTAACATAACACAATTTGGAAAATGTCAAGGGGTCTGAATACTTTCCGAATGCACTGTATAATTGGGATACATTTTTTTACCCTTAAAATGTTCAAGCTAACAAAGGGTATGCTTTTTGCAATTTTTTCTAACAAGGGATATGACATACCCCGCATACCCTTTCAATTCCAGCACAAGAACAAACAATAATGCATTGAATTTATGTAGTGTTTTCCCCAGGTGCTCAAAGCTCTTTATGCGGTTGAAACTCATAGGTGAGTTGTTGTCTGTGGTTAATGCACACGTGTGTGTGTTTCCATGACAAACAATAATGGATTACATTGATGTCGCGCTTTCCCCGGATAGCAAATTTATGGGCGTTAACATCTTGGTGTTGAGGTAAAAAGTGTTATGATTGTTATATCTGAGTGTTGATTCTAGTGGCCTTAACACAAGCGGGATTGAAATTGATGCCACCTGCAGTGAATAAATGAAGTGTTATTTGAATCACAGTGGAATCAACACCGCGTGGTGTTGTTGTTACTCCACTGTGCTGAGTTAATTTCCGTTAACGCTCTGTGTGAAAAAGACATGGGAGGGGCCTCATTATCATATTTCCCAGCATGCTTTGCTGCAGGTCGATTTTTAGAATAGTTTGTTTTTATATGTTTCTGCATCCACATTGATTGATTAATTGATCATATATTATATAAAGATAAATAACTTAGAATTTTCTAAACTAATTCAATCTGTAAGTGGTTGGACTTATCGCACCTGTTACTGAGATGGTTGTTCCAGTTTAGATGGTTTAGGTAGTCTTGGTTCTTCACCACTGCATCACAGTGCTAGCTGTGCCACTAGAGATCCTGGTTCGAATCCAGGCTCTGTCGTAGCCGGCCGCGACCGGGAGACCCATGAGGCGGCGCACAATTGGCCCAGCGTCGCCCAGGGTAGGGGAGGGAATGGCCGGCAGGGATGTAGCTCAGTTGGTAGAGCATGGCATTTGCAACGCCAGGGTTGTGGGTTCGATTCCAGTATAAAAAATAAAAATGTATGCACTCACTAACTGTAAGTCGCTCTGGATAAGAGCGTCTGCTAAATGACTAAAATGTAAATGTAAATGTATAGTAGTCATTCTGAATGCAGATTGTGTGTGATTCATTTTTTTGAATATCATCACTCTGGCTGGATTCCAATAGCAAGCTTTATAATTGCATAATAATGGAGTAATTACATAAGTGGAATAAGGAACAGTCACTATTCCTCTTGTGTACAATAGTTACAAAAACTCTCACCTCATTGCTATGCAATTCGAAATGCAATCACCAAAGTATTATGTAACAACATGCTAATAAAATGTTGCTTCAAAAATATTTACAGTTGTATTACACAGGCACAAGAACAGTTTAATATTAAGTGTTACTGAGAATGCTATCAGTAACAAAATATGGCTATTAATTATCGAAAGGAAATCAACTACAGCCAAGGTAGGTGGAAAATCATATTAGTTTGTATTCTGAGTAAACTATCCCTTTAAAGATGGTATAGTGTGAACACTTACCCTCATACTTATCCTGTGAACACTTATCCTAAGATGGACAAGGAGGTTCCAAGTTTTCTTTGCTAAGCATCTAACTTGCTGTTTGCAATGTTGGCAAATTGATTTGGAATTACTCTGCAGTATTTTCAGGTATCATAACATTTATCGCAGCTTTCAACCTTTTCAGTGGCATGTTATAGTCACCTGGGGCAATGGATATTCAGGAGAATGGACATTTACACAATATTCAGATATAAATGTATTGTATAGATCCAATATGACTGTCAGATAGATTGGAATAGTATAGGAGATTGTGTGTGTTCTATTCATTCAATGTATATCTTCAACATGCAGTTCCAGATACAGCCCTGCCATTAGTTGAAGGCAGCCAATCCAATAGTTTCAGAAAATAAGTCACTTCCTGAGATCTGTTTTAAAATATTTATTTTAAGTAGTTGCTTTCTCAGATCTGTATTCAAATAGTTACAAAAAGTAGTTACTTTCTGAGATCTGCATTCAAATGGTTTTAAAAAGTAGTCATTTTGTGGTATCCTCCAGAAAAAGAAAAAAAAAATCCACAAAGCATAGTTAAAACTATAGTTATCCCAGGTCTGGTGTGTGTGCCAGTCAGCAGTTAAATCTACCAAATGTAAGTGTGTGTGTGTGAGCGTATATGTATACGAAAGCATGTTCCTGTGTGTGTGCACGCACTGTGTGTGTCTGTCCGTTGGACCCAGTCTGTAGAGCCACCTGTATTACAGCAGTAGAAGCAGCAGTTGGTGACATTACGTTTCCTGCTGCTGTGTTTTCAGAGCGACTTCCATCTGGTTCTGCATTACAGGGTGATTGATGTCGCTGGCTCTACTTGGTACCCAGAGGATAGCAATGACGAACAGCACAGCCAGGACAAATATAATTCCCTTCTACTTATTCTGCTCTACTTGAATTCCCTTCACTCTCTCACGGGTGCTCTAACACTAAGTCATAGGTGTACTTTTAGAAAAAAAGGTGCTTGCAGGCCTGATGCTGTCACGCCCTGACCTTGAGAGCCCTGTTTTCTCTAGTTGGTTTGGTCAGGGTGTGAATTCTAGATTTTGTATTTCTATGTTGGCCGGGTGTGGTTCCCAATCAGAGGCAGCTGTCGATCGTTGTCTCTGATTGGGGATCATACTTAGGCAGACATTTTGCCTACCTTAGTTGTGGGAGCTTGTTTCTGTTTTGGCTTGTGTAGCCTGTTGAACGTTTGTTTGTATTTTGATTCTGTATTCAGTAAATAAAGGAACATGTACGCATACCACGCTGCACCTTGGTCTGAACCGTCTATCAACGAGCGTGACAGATGCTAAGTAGAACCATACAGGGTTCTTCGGTTTGTCCCCATTGGGGAACCCTTTTTGTTGCTGGGTAGAACCCCTTGTAGACTATATGTAGAGTTCTTCAAAGAACCCCCTGTATATGGTTCTACCTAGAACCCTCTAGGAAGGTTCTACCAAGAACCATTTTATCATCTAAAAGGTTCTCCCCAAACTTTCTATGAAGGGTTCTACCGAGAACCCTTTTATCTTTGGAGGGTTCTACATAGAACAGGTAGACCCCACCAACAGTATTAGCCTTTAAAATTAAATTATTTATGACAATACATTACATATTTACAGTACCAGTCAAAAGTTTGGACACACCTACTCATTGAAGAGTTTTTCTTTATTTTTACTATTTTCTACATTGTAGAATAATAGTGAAGACATCACAACTATGAAATAACACATATGGAATCATGAAGTAACCAAAAAAGTGTTAAACAAATCAAAATATATGTCATATTTTAGATTCTTCAAAGTAGCCACCCTTTGCCTTGATGACAGCTTTGCACACAATTGGCATTCTCTCAACCAAATTCATGAGGAATACTTTTCCAACAGTCTTGAAGGAGTTCCCAAATATGCTGAGCACTTGTTGGCTGATTTTCCTTCACTCTGCGGTCCAAATCATCCCAAACCATCTCAATTGGGTTGAGGTCTGGGGATTGTGGAGTCTAGGTCATCTGATGAAGCACTCCATCACTCTCCTTCTTGGTAAATAGCCCTTACACAGCCTGCAGGTGTGTTTTGGGTCATTGTCCTGTTGAAAAACAAATGATAGTCCCACTAAGCACAAACCAGATGGGATGGCGTATCGCTGCAGAATGCTGTGGTAGCCATGCTGGTTAAGTGTGACTTGAATTCTAAATAAATCACAGACATTGTCACCAGCAAAGCTACCCCCACACCATCACACCTCCTCCTCCATGCTTCACGGTGAGAACCACACGTGGAGATCATCCGTTCACCTACTCTGCGTCTCACAAAGACACGGCAGTTGGAACCAAAGATCTCAAATTTGGACTCATTAGACCAAAGGACAGATTTCCACTGGTCTAATGTCCATTGCTCATGTTTCTTGGCCCAAGCAAGTGTTTCTTGGCCCAAGCAATTCTCTTCTTCTTATTGGTGTCCTTTAGTAGTAGTTTCTTTGCAGCAATTCGACCATGAAGGCCTGATTCACGCGGTCTCCTCTGAACAGTTGATGTTGAGATGTGTCTGTTACTTGAACTCTGTGAATCATTTATCTGGGCTGCAATCTGAGATGCAGTTAACTCTAATGAACTTATCTTCTGCAGCAGAGGTAACTCTGGGTCTTCCTTTCCTGTGGCGGTCCTCATGAGAGCCAGTTTCATCATAGCGCTTGATGGTTTTTGCGACTGCACTTGAAGAAACTTTCAAAGAATCCTTCTTACCTCTTTTTTCCAAAAAAGTTTCTTAGTATTTTAAAGGTTCTAGGTAGAACCCTTTGACTTACAAAGAACCCCTGTCTTCCAAAAAGGGTTCTTCTGATCAAAGCAGTTCTTGGTAGAACTTATCCCTCCGCAAAGAACCCGTTTGGAAAACTTTTTTCAAAGAGGAATAGAAATGGAATTTGGTAGAGCAGGGGCAGGAGTTTTTATGCAGGCTACAACTAGGGCCAGGACCTTTATTCAGAAAGAGTCTCAAAGGAGAACTGCTGATCTAGGATCTAAGATCAGGTCCCTGCTGTTCTTATAATCAAATTCATTATGATCTAAAAGGCAACCCAGGGGGCCTATGTATCGAGCATATCAGAATAAGACTGCTGATCTAGGATCAGGTCCACCTGTCCATATTATCTTATTCATTATAATCAGATTTTTTTATTAGAATGTTATTCATTATAATCAGATTTTATTATAATCTTATTCAGTTAATCACTATTTCAGCACTCCTACTCTGAGACTTTGTCAAGAGTCCAGGCCTCTCTGCTCCACACATTCAACACATTCATCCACCTACCTGTTTGTGAACTTTTGTAAGCTGGTCCAGGTTGTTCTCAAGAAAGGAAATCTTTTGCTTCTGGTGGCTAGATCCCCCGCTATCATCTGTCTCCATCTCTGAATGCTGCAGCGGGAAAAAACAGAGTGGGAGAGAGAGGGGGGGAGAGGGAGAGAGGGAGCAAGAGAGAGAGAGAGAGAGAGAGAGAGAGAGAGAACGAGATAATGATGTGGTTAAGATCACACTAGATATCATGAACTATTAAATCATTTAGATCAGTGGTCACCATCTGGTCGCGATCGATCCTAGGCATTCCTAGTCGATCACCAAACATTCCTGTAAAAAACCCAATGATGTAGTCAACATTGCGTTCCTATTTTTTAAATTTGTTTTGAGCTGTTGGCGGTAGGTGCACTTGATTCAGCAGCCCTAGCGCCGGGAAGGCAAAGTGTTCCCATTTTGAACCATTTCACGTGTATGAAGATAGAACTCTGCCTACCCGGCAGGCCTAGAGAGCAAATCAAGTGCACCTATAGGCCTACCGCTGGCCAATCAGATAGCTCAGATCACTGTGTCTGCACAGTTTCCTCGAGCCATAGACTGTAAAAAGAAGCCACGAACGCACAGCAAAGTTGAGATTTCAAAACGTTTAAAACCATGAGTAGAGAGCGACTCAATGAATACAGCAAAGAGCTGCTGTTTTTATGAGTAAGTTCATGTTTAAGTCAAAATCAAATCTAATCTAATTTTATTGGTCACATACAAATGTTTAGCAGATGTTATTGCGGGTGTAGTGAAATGCTTGTGTTTCTAGCTTCAACAGTGCAGTAATATCTAACAAGTAATATCTAACAATTTCACAACAATACACACAATACACACAAATCTAAAGTAAAGGAATGGAATTAAGAATATATAAATATTTGGACGAGCAATGTTGGAGCGGCATAGACTAAGATACAGTAGAATAGTATAGAATACAGTATATATATATGAGATGAGTAAAGCAAAATATGTAAACATTATTAAAGTGACTAGTGTTCCATTATTAAGGTGGCCTGTGATTTCAAGTCTAGGTATATAGGGCAGCAGCCTCTAAGGTGCTAGTGATGGCTATTTAACAGTCTGATGGCCTTGAGATAGAAGCTGTTTTTCATTCTCTCGGTCCCAGCTTTGATGCACCTGTACTGACCTCGCCTTTTGGATGATAGCGGGGTGAACAGACAGTGGCCCAGGTGGTTGTTGTCCTTGATTATCTTTTTGGCCTTCCTGTGACATTGGATGCTGTAGGTGTCCTGGAGGTGCAGTTGCCATACCAGGCGGTGATACAGCCCGACAGGATGCTCTCAATTGTGCATCTGTAAAATTTTGTGAGGGTTTTAGGTGCCAAGCCACATTTCTTCAGCCTCCTGAGGTTGAATAGGTGCTGTTGCGCATTCTTCATCACACTGTCTGTGTGGGTGGACCATTTCAGTTTGTCAGTGATGTGTACACCAAGGAACTTGAAGCTTTCCACCTTCTCCACTGCGGTCCCATCGATGTGGATAGGTGGGTGTTCCCTCTGCTGTTTCCTGAAGTCCATGATCAGCTCCTTTGTTTTGTTGACGTTGAGAGAGAGGTTATTTTCCTGCACCACAATCTCAGGGCCCTCACCTCCTCCCTGTAGGCTGACTCGTCATTGTTGGAAGTCAGGCCTACTACTGTTGTGTCATCTGCAAACTTGATGATTGAGTTGGAGGCGTGCGTGGCCACGCAGTCATGGGTGAATAGGGAGTACAGCAGGGGGCTGAGCATGCATCCTTGTGGGGCCCCTGTGTTATGGATCATCAAAGTGGAGGTGTTATTTCCTACCTTCACCACCTGGGGGCAGCCCGTCAGGAAGTCCAGGACCCAGTTACACAGGGCGGGGTTCAGACCCAGGGCCCAGAGCTTAATGATGAGCTTGGAGGGTACCATGGTGTTGAATGCTGAGCTATAGTCAATGAACAGCATTCTTACATAGGTATTCCTCTTGTCCAGATGGGATAGGGCAATGTGCAGTGCGATGGAAATTGCATTGTCTGTGGATCTATTGGGGCGGTAAGCAAATCGAAGTGGGTCTAGAGTGTCAGGTAAGGTAGAGGTGATATGATCCTTGACTAGTCTCTCAAAGCACTTCATGATGACAGAAGTGAGTGCAACGGGGCGATAGTCATTTAGTTCAGTTACCTTTACTTTCTTGGGTACAGGAACCATGGTGGACATCTTGAAGCACGTGGGGAGAGCAGACTGGGAAAGGGAGAGATTGATATTGTCCATAAACACTCCAGCCAGCTGGTATGCGCATGCTCTGAGGACGAGGATAGGGATGCCGTCTGGGCCAGCAGCCTTGCGAGGGTTAACACGCTTAAATGTCTTACTCACGTCGGCCACGGAGAAGGAGAGCCCACAGTCCTTGGTAGCTGGCCGCGTCGGTGGCACTGTGTTATCCTCAAAGCGGGCGAAAAAGGTGTTTAGCTTATCCGGAAGCAAGAAGTCGGTATCTGTGGCGTGGCTGGTTTTCCCTTTGTAGTCCGTGATTGTCTTTAGACCCTGCCACATATGTCTTGTGTCTGAGCCGTTGAATTGTGACTCCACTTTGTCTCTGTAGTGACGTTTTGCCTGTTTGATTGCCTTACAGAGGGAATAACTACACTGTTTGTATTCGGCCATATTCCCAGTCACCTTGCCATGGTTAAATGTGGTGGTTCACACTTTCAGTTTTGCGCGAATGCTGCCATCTATCCACGGTTTCCTGATAAACTCAGTCACCGTATCCGTGTATTCGTCAATATTATTCTCAGAGACTACCCGGAACACATCCCAGTCCGCGTGATCAAAACAATCTTGAAGCATGGATTCCGATTGGTCAGACCAGCGTTGAATAGTCCGTAGCACGGGTACTTCCTTCTTGAGTTTCTGCCTATAGGAAGGGAGCAGCAAAATGGAGTCGTGATCAGATTTGCCGAAGGGAGGGCGGGGGAGGGCCTTGTAGGCATTTTGAAAAGTTGAGTAGCAGTGGTCCAGTGTTTTCTCAGAGTGAGTGCTACAGTCAATGTGTTGGTAGAACTTCGGTAGCGTTTTCCTCAGATTAGCTTTGTTGAGATCCCCGGCTACAATAAATGCGGCCTCAGGATATATGGTTTCCAGTTTGCATAGAGTCCAGTGTAGTTCTTTGAGGGCCGTGGTATCGGCTTGATGGGGAATTTACACGGCTGTGACTATAGCAGAAGATCATTCTATTGGGAGGTAATATGGTCGGCATTTGATTGTGAGGTATTCTAGGTCGGTTTTATAAGCCATAAAATGTGCTTTCTCCCTACTTCCACTGACGCCATAACAAGCGCTGCAGCTGCAATAAATGAGTATAGCAAAGTGTTCTGTAAGCTTGCATTGTTACTATAAGTGGCTTGTGTCTTTTTTAATATCAAGGAATATTTCACTTTCTCTGGTCATACGAGTAACAACATGAATTGGTGCATGAGGCAGAAATAATGTAGTGCGACTTGAGTTTCGCCATCAGATGGGAGACTGTGTACCCTTTTTCTTAGCGGAGGGAGAGCGGAGGGACGGTGAGTCGGGTGTGAGGCAGCCTCATATTTCATAGGCTGAAATAAAAGATCCCCGAAAATTATTCGCACAAAAAGCGTATTTCTCTAAAATGTCCTGCACAAATTTCTTTACATCCCTGTTAGTGAGCATTTCTCCTTTGCCAAGATAATCCATCCACCTCACAGGTGTGGCATATCAAGAAGCTGATTAAACAGCATGATCATTACACAGGTGCACATTGTGCTGGGGACAATAAAAGGCCACTCTATGAACACAATTGCATTTTATCGATGGCAATTTGAATGCACAGAGATACCGTGACAAGATCCTGAGGCCCATTGTCGTGCCATTCATCCGCCGCCATCACCTCCTGTTTCAGCATAATATTGCACAGCCCCATGTCGCAAGGGTCTGTACGCAATTCCTGGAAGCTGAAAATGTCCCATTTATTCCATGGCCTGCATACTCACCAGACATGTCACCCCATTGAGCATGTTTGGGATGCTCTGGATCGACGTGTACAACAGCGTTTTCCAGTTTCCGCCAATATCCAGCAACTTCACACAGCCATTGATGAAGAGTGGGACAACATTCCACAGGCCACAATCAACAGTTTGATCAACTCTATGCAAAGGAGATGTGTCGCGCCGCAGGAGGCAAATGGTGGTCACACCAGATACTGACTGGTTTTCTGATCCACAACCCAACTTTTCTTTTTAAAGTGTCTGTGACCAACATATGCATATCTGTATTCCCAGTCATGTGAAATCCATAGATTAGGGACTAATGAATTCATTTCAATTGACTGATTTTCTTATATGAACTGTAACTCATTCAAATCTTTGAAATTGTTGCATGTTGCATTTACAGTATATTTTTGTTCAGTATAATACAACAAATTATCTATTACCAGTGTGATCATATACAGTGCATTCAGAAACTGTTCAGACCCTTTACTTTTTTTCTGTTTTTCGCTCATCAATCTACACACAATTACATTTTTTTTACATTTTAGTCATTTAGCAGACGCTCTTATCCAGAGCGACTTACAGTTAGTGAATACATATTTTTTTGTACTGGCCCCCCGTGGGAATCAAACCCACAACCCTGGCGTTGCAAACGCCATGCTCTATCAACTGAGCTACATCCCTGCCGGCCATTCCCTCCCCTACCCTGGACGATGCTGGGCCAATTGTGCGCCGCCCATGAGTCTCCCGGTCGCGGCCGGCTGCGACAGAGCCTGGATTCGAACCAGGATCTCTAGTGGCACAGTTAGCACTGCGATGCAGTGCCTTAGACCACTGCGCCACTCAGGAGTTAAGGGCTATTTTAACCCATTTTAACCCACAATAACCCATAATGACAACACAAATTTACACTACTGGTCAAAACTTTTAGAACACCTACTCATTCAAGGGTTTTTGTTTATTTTTTACTATTTTCTACATTGTAGAATAATAGTGAAGACATCAAAACTATGAAATCACATATATGGAATCATATAGTAACGAAAAAAGTGTTAAACAAATCAAAATATATTTGAGATTTGAGAATCTTCAAATAGCCATTCTTTGCCTTGATGACAGCTTTGCACACTTTTGGCATTCTCTCAACCAGCTTCAACTGGAATGCTTTTCCAAAAGTCTTAAAGGAGATCCGACATATTCTGAGCACTTGTTGGCTGCTTTTCCTTCACTCTGCTGTCCGACTCATCCCAAACCATCTCAATTGGGTTGAGGTCGGGGGATTGTGGAGGCCAGGTCATCTGATAAAGCACTCCATCACTCTCCTTCTTGGTAAAATAGCCCTTACACAGCCTGGAGGTGTGATAGTCCCACTAAGCCCAAACCAGATGGGATGGCATATCGCTGCAGAATGCTGTGGTAGCCATGCTGGTTAAGTGTGCCTTGAATTCTAAATAGATCACAGACAGTATCACCAGCAAAGCATCCCCACACCATAACACCTCCTCCTCCATGCTTTACGGTGGGAAATACACATGCGGAGATCATCCCTTCACCCACACCACATCTCACAAAGTCACGGTGGTTGGAACCGGTCTAATGTCCTTTGCTCATGTTTCTTGGCCAAGCAAGTCTCTACTTCTTATTGGTGTCCTTTAGTAGTGGTTTCTTTGCAGTAATTCGACCATGAAGGCCTGAACAGTTGATGTTGAGATGTGTCTGTTACTTGAACTCTGTGAAGCATTTATTTGGGCTGCAATTTCTGAGGCTGGTAACTCTAATGAACTTATCCTCTGCAGCAGAGGTAACTCTGGGTCTTCCATTCCCGTGGTGGTCCTTATGAGAGCCAGTTTCATCATAGCGCTTGATGGTGTTTGCGACTGCACTTGAAGAAACTTTCAAAGTTGTTGAAATGTTCCGTATTGACTAACCTTCATGTCTTAAAGTAATGATGGACTGCCATTTCTCTTTGCTTATTTGAGCTGTTCTTGCCATAATATGGACTTGGTCTTTTACCAAATAGGGCTATCCAACATTAAAACTTTTTGGCAGGGCAATTCAAGCATAGCCAATATGCAGAAATAATGTATTGGTCCTATAGCTTACTGCACAAACCTCATTGCTACAGGACTGTTTATAATTGGTTAATGTTGCATAGGCTTACGTTGTTTAAGTCATGTTTAAAAACAAATCTGAGCGGTAGATCTCGGCTTGCATTTTTACTCAGAAAGTGATCTTGACTCAGAAAAGATTGGTGACCACTGATTTAGAAGTTATCTTCTTCAGTCCTCCTCCTCTCCCTCCTTCACTCCCTCTCTTTGTCTTCGTCCTTTACTCACTTACCCTTTTGACTCGAGTCGTGAGGTCTTGAACAAAAAGCTTCCGCAGGTTGTGGAGGGTCTGGAGTTCACGAGCCTGTGGAATAAAGAGAGTGAAAAAGACAGGAAGGGAGCGAGAGAGAGAGCGAGCAAAACAAGAGGTGGGCACAAAGTGTGGGCAAAGTGACAGAAAGATGGAGAAAGAGGAGGTGCATTAGTGAATCGTGATCAACTTCTCCTACAGTGGATTCAATTGAATGTCAGCGAGAGAGAAAGTGAGACAGAGAGAGGGAGAGAGGGAGAGCGGGAGTGAGGGAGGGAGGAAGATAGATACTCACCACAGTCTCCTCCAGTCCTTTAAGGTCCTGTTTAGACTGCTCGTGGCGCTCATGAAGAAATCTGGCAAAACGGGGAAAGAGCAAATACATACATACATCAATCACATTCAGTAACACATTAATAACGTCATTTTTTTCTGTGTTTATAGACAATATATAATGTAGGCCGATGCATTATAAACACAAGTTTATGTTTTGGCTGCTACCACACAGTCTTTATAGAGTGTGTTTAGCCCAGAGCATGTTTTGTTTGTTTACTTTGTGTGTGTGCGTGTGTGGCCCAGATTATGTTCAGTCAGCTAAATGTTAAGGGTTCTTGGTGGTCAGTCAGAATGGTAAATAAACAAACAGCTGGCCTCAATTCACTCCCTACCCCCCTGGCCCTAACCCTTCAATGTTTACTGATCTGTAAGGTGGAAGCAATGTGTTGGGAGCTCTGCAAACATCGAAGGGTTAAGAGTGTTTCACTTGAGAGGTGCAGAGTGAACCAACCGGCTGTGCCCGGCTTGCCTATGTCAAGTGAAAGGCCTTTTAGGACTAAGGCTGTGGGGTACACTCTTAGAAAAAAGGGTTATTTGCGTAGGGATAGGGTTCTACCAATAACCGTTTTCATCTGAAGAACCCTTTTTGTAAGACGAGGGTTCAACCTTGAACTTTTGATCCTAAATACCGTTTTTACAGTGTATTGTATGGTACACAGCAAATTGGCCAGTGTTAACTAGTGTTGATTCAGGAGTTGAATTAACTCTGTAAAGAGTTCAATTAACACTCAGTGGTGTAACCCCAGTATTGGTGTTAATAACCAGAGTTAAGTGTGATTGGTTATAGCTGCTGTCAGCCTACACTTTTAGAAAAAAGGGTTCCAAAAGGGTTATCTGCAGAGGGATAGGGTTCTACCAAGAACAATTTTGATTATAAGAACCCTTTTTGGAAGACAAGGTTCTAACTAGAACCTTTAACATCCTAAGAACCGTTTTTGGAAGAAAGTTATTTGAAAGGCAAGAAGGGTTCTACATAGAACCATATATAATATTTCCCAGCATGCTCTATTGCAGGGAGATTTTCTGAATTGTTTGTTTTACTGTAATATCTGTGGTTTTGACTGGTTGATTAATATTATGCTACACAAAGATAAATAACATACTGTTTTCTAAACTCATCTAATCTGTTAGTTTTCTAAACTAATCCAATCTGTTAGCAATTGGATGTGTTGCACCTGTTACTGAGATGGTTGTTTCAGTTTAGATGATTAAGGTAGTGTCAGTATTTAATCTTCCCTACCCTAGTAGTCAATCTGAATGCAGGTTGCGGGTGATTAACAATTCCCCTTGTTGGCTATCCTAACTCTGTCTGGATTCCAATAGGAATTACACATCACTTTGCAAGCCAGCATAATGTGACTTGCAGGCCTGATGTAGCCTGTAAACCAGGAGAGTCCTAATACCACTGTGTAGGGTATAACTACACCCTCAATGAAAGGCCTTATGATATATGTAATGTATTGTCATAAATAATTACATTTTAAAGGCAAATAAGGATGGTGGGTTCTACCCGTTCATAGAGGGTTCTAGGAAGAAACCTCCAAAAATAAAAGGGTTCTCGATAGAAGAACGGTTGAAGGAAGAACTTTTAGATGATAACATGGTTCTTGGTAGAACCCTTCATATAGGGTTCTAGGCAGAACCCTTCCTAGAGCGTTCTAGGTAGAACCATATACAGGGGGTTCTTTGAAGAACCTTACATATAGGGTTCTAGATAGAAGCCTCTACAAAGGTTTCTACCCAGCACCAAAAATGGTTCCCCTATGGGGACTAACCAAAGAAACCTGTATGGTTCTACTTAACACCTTTTTTTCTAAGAGTGCACCTATGACTTAGTGTTAGCGCACCAATGAGAGAGTGTTGTGTCAGCCTATATGGAGGAGGTAAGTGAACTGGCATTGCTCCCTCAACGTCAGCAAAACAAAGGAGTTGATTGTTGACTTCAGGAAGCAGAGGAGGGAACATGCCCTGATCCACTGCAGTGGAGAATCTCAGCAGTTTTAAGGTCCTCGGTGTCCACATCACCGAGGACTTGACAGGGAACAACAATACCACCACTTTTGTCAAGAGGGCGCAACAGCGTCTCTACTTCCTAAGGCGGCTGAAGAACTTCGGCATGGCACCCCAAGTCCTCTCCAAATACTACCGATTCACTATCAAGAGCATCCTGACTGGTTGCATCACAGCCTGGTACGGGAATTGCTCCGTCCACGACCGCAAGGCCCTCCAGCAGGTGGTGAAGATGGCCCAGTACATCACTGGGACCATGCACCCACCCATCCACGACGTTTACTCTAAACGGTGCCGAAGAAGGCCAGAAGCATCATCAAGGACCCCACACACCCCAGCCACAAGCTGTTCACTATTTATTTTTTCATTTTTACCTTATTTTCTATTTAATTTTCTGTACTTTTTACCCCTTTTTCTGCCCAATTTCGTGATATCCAATTGGTAGTTACAGTCTTGTCCCATCGCTGCAACTCCCGTATGGGAGTCGAGAGCCATGCGTCCTCCGGACGACGCTGGGCCAATTGTGCGCCGCCTCATGGGTCTCACGGTCGCGGGATCGAATCCGGGTCTGTAGTGACACCTCTAGTACTGCGATGCAGTGCCTTAGACCGCTGCGCCACTATTTAAAAAAAGAGAACTATCCGTATTTCCCACTGCTTTCATGTGTTTCAAATGGGAGCTTGTCCAAGGTGTCGGACTTGACGAAAGTTGCTATACATTGGAGCGCTGCTGTTGGTTGCCCAAAATTCTGGGGCGGGTCTTAGCAAAGGGTCTATTGTTGGATATCCTCACTCTGGCTGGATTCCAATCGGAATTACACATCACTTTGCAAGTCAGCATAATGGACTTGCAGGCCTGACATGGCCTGTAAACCAGGAGTTTCTGACCACTGTGTTAGGGTATAACTAGGCCCTGAAATGATATATGTACAGTATTATCATAAATATGCAAATAAAGCTGGTAGAATCGTTCATGGAGGGTTCTGGGAAGAACAGATGTAGGATCTTAATTTGAACACTATTTTATTACTGAGACTTTTCCTGCACAGCAGGAAATGCAAACAAGGTTTAAAAAGGCTTCTAATGTTTGTAACTTCATAAGGATTTCCACTTCAAAATGTCAGACTTGATTTGCCCTACCGAAAAATGTATCAACCCTAAGAAAAAATGTCCATTCATTATAATCCACATAACAATTCCTATTTCCTGTGGCTATAGGATTATTTTCCTGCTGTAGCAAACTGGCTTAAAATAAGATCCTACGTCTGTAGAGGGTTCTAGGTAGACCCTTTATAGAGGGTTCTATGAATAACCCTTCATAGAGGGTTTTAGGAAGAACAATCTCCAAATGGTTCTACCTAGCACAATAAAAGGGTTTGCCTATGGGGACAAACCGAAGAACCCTATATGGTTCTACTTAGCACCTTTTTTTCTAAGAGTGTAGGGAGTGAATTGCAGGGTCTCCTGAGACGGTGTGTGTGTGTGTGACTTACGTCAGCTCCTCCAGTTGCAGTGTCTTGTGGTGCTCCTGACTCCTAAGACGGTCAAAGTCGCTCCTCAGCAGCTCCAACTCCAGATGAAGACGATGGTTGCGACTGATCAGGACAGAAGAGGAAGGAGGACAATACATGAGAAACAGTTTGGTGTAGCCTTCCTAGTCTAGATCACCAGGGGGTTAACTTTACCACAAATGTCATACGTTTAGTTCCCATTTTATGACAAATGTTGGCTCAAGGAAAATGATTCTGGTTATGACTGATGGACAGGAGAGGAGGGTGAAGAGGAGGGTGGAGAGAGGGCAATGACAGAGAGAGTAGATGCTGTGAGGAACAGTCTGATGTTAATAGACTTCTAGGGGGTTAACTTTACAACATTTTAAATACATTTACTTCCCATTTTATGGCCATAATGGTCATGAAATGGTCATAAATGGGACACAATACTGGATTTTATATCTAAAGTGTATATAATGAATATATACATTTATGCAATAGATATGCACTTGCTATGGTCTTATAATAAAATGGGATAGGAACGTATAAAAGATCAAACTTGAGGCTGAGATTCTGGGTAGACATTTAGAGATTCTATAGGTGATTCTTCAACATGTGGTGCTCAAAATGCTTCACGGCGTGTTAAAAATATGCAGGCAGATGCTATGTTGTCTGGATAACAGGTAGGGTAAAGAATAACAAGTAGGACGAAATAAAGGTACTGACAGGGAGGTCGTCACACAGCAGTACAGCTGCTATATTGTGACTGAGGTAGCACTGTGAGCATGACAAAGAGAGGGAGATGAAGGGAGAGAGAAGGGGCGAGAGAGGGAGAGAGAAGGGGAGAGAGAGGGAGAGGTCGGTACTGGCTCAGTGAGGTTGTCAATGATCTTCGTGACCCTCACACTAGTACAGAAATGTACAGATGGAAGTAACGTTGTGAGGTAGGGTAGGTAGAATGACAATGAGAGGGAGATGAAGTGAGGGAGCAGAGAGGGAGAGAGGAGGAGGGGGAGAGAGGACAGCGGTACAGATGCATAGCATGACAGAGCATGACAAGGTTAGAGACTGACAGTAAGAAGGAGGTGAAGGTACTGATTCACTGAGGTCGTCACACACAGCAGTACAGCTGCAGGCTATGTTGCGAGGTGACACTGTGAGGTAGAGTAGAGAATGACAATGAGAGGGGGTCGAAGGGGGAGAGGGGGAGAGGAAGAGGAGGAGAGGGAAAGGGAGCGAGAGAGGAAGATGAGGAGGAGAGGAAGGTCCTTACTCTGTGAAAGGGAGATGAAGGGTGAGAGAGTGACAAACGGACATAGGAGGAGAGTGGGAGAGGGGGATAGAGGGTTATGGAGGGGAGAGAGGTACTGACTCAGTGAGGTCGTCAATGATCTTCTGTTTCTCATTGATCTCGTCTCGGAGACGTCCCAGCTGCTTGTGGTGTGTCTCACGGTGAGACTCCATTTGCTGCTCCATAGCCCTCTGAGACAGGGAGAGAGACAGTTAGCACTCACACACACACACACAGGGAGAAACACACGCACACACACACACACACACACACACACACACAAACACAACGTTTAATACACACAATGATTAATGCACACACACTCATAAAAAATACAGCTATTTGATTAATGCTAATTGCATCATTCCCCCCCCCTTTCCCACAGTCAGTAACCATAGTTACCTTAACATCAGCAGACTCCTTGATGTCCGTCTGGTTCTCTCCCTTTGTCACCTCTGACATGCTCTCTGAAACACACACAAATATTTGCATTTCAGAGTACGCCTGAATAGCTAGTCACTTTACTGTCATTTCACTGGTCATTTCACCTTCGCTGGAATGCATACACAGTGTTGCACTAATTGTAGAGTGAGTCATTGAGTCATGTACCCTGGGCCAGAAGTTTTACTTTGCACCTGCAGTTTAAAACTCAGTTTAACACTCTGCTCTGTACTATGTTGTAGCCATCGGGATGACTAATGTACCTTCGGCATGGAGTTTGGCCAGCTCTTCACTCAGAGAGTCATAGTTATACTGTGTTGTCAGGGTGTATAGTGTGTTCTATAGTCAGGTGGGCCAGGAGTTTTACCTTGTGCTTGTAGTTTAGCCAGCTCTTCACTCAGAGAGTCGTAGTTATCCTCCAGCTGTCTCTTCTTCAGCTCTATGTTCTGCATGTACTCTGTCAGGGAGTGGATCTTTGCCTCATGCTGCACACACAAAACACAATCAATGATACAACCAATGTTAGCACCAATGTTCTGACCAATGGGAATCAACCGCACACCCAAGATAATGAGGTGCAGGAAGATACTTGAATGAAAGCACAAGGTAACATCCACACATCTGGCATCGGGGCAAATTAGCTTTCCAATTCAATGACTAAGCTCTCCAGAATAAACTGAAAGGTGCACTCAGACTAAATGAAGAGTTTCATTCCCAAACGTTATATATCCATTTTCAGAAATGACATGTATTTGTTTGAAATATATTACTTGATAGCTGTGTTGTAGGTCTCAAGTCTGGTCTCGAGACCACATATTGAGTGTCTCGGTCTTGTCTCGAAGTCAGACATTTTTTTACTCGGTCTTGACTCGGTCTCGTACAATGAGGACTCATAATTTCCTTCAGAGACCAGCGGAGTAAAAAAAACTCATAATTACAGTATCAGCTTCCATTCCATCACCGCATTAAACTGCATCACCAGACCAAATGTCCACACTCCTTTCATGACATAATAATATATTATCGCCTATTGAAACCTGGGCTTCCTACCTTTCTCGTAACATTAGTTAACTACTGTCCTTTACTAAAAATATCCTCAAACATTGTCGTGCTCGTCAGAATTTCCTTGATTCGCTGGTAGGGAAGAGTGATGGAAATGTTTTGAAAGTTGGGCGCTCACTATTAGCAAGGGGAGACCGGGGAAAGTTGTAACATACGTTGTATTTTATCTACAGAGTGGCTGCGAAACCCGATTTTCTGGAAACCCGATATGCCGCAGCTAAAGATACAGAGATTTCTGAAGGATGTGTTTTTTATGTAGCTGCTTCCCACTCCTCTGCCCACTCCGCTGCTGCTCAGTGCTCTGCTGCCACTTCCCCTCCTTGATCAGCGATGAACACCTTTGTTTGCTGTAGCCTACAAACTTCATGTTGTACACAAAGGAAATGGTCGAAATGTTCTAACTATAACTATTTCATGTCATTTTTTCAGGAGAGGATTTAGGCTACATGCAGCTATTTACATTGTATACAAAATACATGATCACCATGTTTGTACAAACTCACAGATAGTTTTTTGCCCTAATGTAAAACTCAAATGGGAATTTACATGCAGCCATATAGGCAGCATATCAAACACAAGCAAGACACAGACACAAAGTCTAATTAGCGATTTAATGATCGTTTTTCATCATCATTGCAAACATTGGCTAAGCAGGAGGCAGACAGGCAGTCAGTAGTAGTGTTCTTTTTCATCAAGTCTGGCTAGTGGCTATGCTAGGGAGCATGCAGCCCACGGCCCCCCTTTTGTAGGCCTGCAGCCGGGGGACCCCTATTGATTTTGTTAGTCACTCTCACTCAGATGTCATATGAAAAACTGCAAACAGTTATCGCCACCCTATGGCAAAATGTGTAGAATTTCAAGAAATTAGCTGTAAAACTGCACATTTTTCTCTCCGCCCCATGGCAAAATGTGTAGAATTTCAAGAAATTAGCTGTAAAACTGCACATTTTTCTCTCCGCCCCATGGCAAAATGTGTACAATTTCAAGAAATTAGCTGTACAACTGCACATTTATCTCTCTGCACCATGGCAAAATGTGTAGAATTGCAGCAAACTTGCTTAAAAACAGCAAAATAAATGTTTTCTCTCTGCTGTCAAGAGGGTTTGCTAGCAAGGTGGGGGCCCCACCAATAAAAATTAACTTAAGGCACCCAAAAGGCTACAGCCGGCTCTGACTGCATGTGTGGGGATGGATGTGGGGATGCAGACCCCCGAGCCAGTGTGGCCCCTCCTGATTAGTTCAGATTTTTTGTGTTGCCTATCCCTCAACTACATCACACAAAACACTGATTGTTTTTGCTCCATTAGGGAGTGAGACTGAGTCTTGCTTGTGCAACTGCATTATAAGGCTGCATTGAGACAATGACTTATCAATGACCCAAGCCCAGCTCAGTTAATCCCTAACATTGTGTCGCTGAGTTGTCATAATGCTTCAGCAAATGTACATTATCCCAGGGGTGTTGGAAGACACAATGTAAGTCACCTAATTTCTGTCCTTCTAACTGCCCTGAATGCCTCTGCTGATCCCATAGCTATTGTATGCAGTAACCGTGTGCCTATGAACCAGAATTATACTGTTAGCACTGAGGCGGTGTGCCCTAGTAGGAAGTCCACTGTATGCACTAAACTTAAATAGCATGAGCATATCTACAGTTGAAGTCGGAAGTTTACATACACTTAGGTTGGAGTCATTAAAACTTGTTTTTCAACCACTCCACACATTTCTTGTTAACAAACTATAGTTTTGGCAAGTCGGTTAGGACATCTACTTCGTGCATGACACAAGTACATTTTTCCAACAATTGTTTACAGACAGATTATTTAACTTATAATTCACTGTATCACAATTCCAGTGGGTCAGAAGTTTACATACACTAAGTTGACTGTGCCTTTAAAAAGCTTGGAAAATTCCAGAAATGATGTAATGGCTTTAGAAGCTTCTGATGGGCTAATTGACATAATTTGAGTCAATTGGAGGTGTACCTGTGGATGTATTTCAAGGCCTACCTTCAAACTCAGTGCCTCTATGCATGACATCATGGGAAAATCAAAAGAAATCACCTCAGAAAGACCTCAGAAAAAAATTTGTAGACCTCCACAAGTCTGGTTCATCCTTGGGAGCCTGAAGGTACCACGTTCATCTGTACAAACAATAGTATGCAAGTATAAACACCATGGGACCACGCAGCTGTCATACCGCTCAGGAAGAAGACGCGTTCTGTCTCCTAGAGATGAACGTACTTTGGTGCGAAAAGTGCAAATCAATCGCAGAACAACAGCAAAGGACCTTGTGAAGATGCTGGAGGAAACAGGTACCAAAGTATCTACATCCACAGTAAAACGAGTCCTATATCGACATAACCTGAAAGGCCGCTCAGCAAGGAAGAAGCCACTGCTCCAAAACCGCCATAAAAAAGCCAGACTACGGTTTGCAACTGCACATGGGGACAAAGATCGTACTTTTTGGAGAAATGTCCTCTGGTCTGATGAAACAAAAATAGAACTGTTTGGCCATAATGACCATCGTTATGTTTGGAGGAAAAAGGGGATATCTTGCAAGCCGACGAACACCATCCCAACCGTGAAGCACAGGGGTGGCAGCACCATGCTGTGGGGTTGCTTTGCTGCAGGAGGGACTGGTGCACTTCACAAAATAGATGGCATCATGAGGAAGGAAAATGATGTGGATATATTGAAGCAACATCTCTGGACATCAGTCAGGAAGTTAAAGCTTGGTCGCAAAGGGGTCTTCCAAATGGACAATGACCCCAAGCATACTTCCAATGTTGTGGCAAAATGGCTTAAGGACAACAAAGTCAAGGTATTGGAGTGGCCATCACAAAGCCCTGACCTCAATCCTATCGAAAATTTGTGGGCAGAACTGAAAAAGCGTGTGCGAGCAAGGAGGCCTACAAACCTGACTCAGTTACACCAGCTCTGTCAGGAGGAATTCACCCAATTTATTGTGGGAAGCTTGTGAAAGGCTACCTGAAACGTTTGACCCAAGTTAAACAATTTAAAGGCAATGCTACCAAATACTAATAGAGTGTATGTAAACTTCCGACTTCAACTGTACTTCTGCTAAGCTTCCCAGTAAAGCAATGAAAACAATCAAGCATCCCAGAAAATAGCCCACGTTAACATATGTAGCCTAAGAAAAAAGGTTCCTGAAATCAATAACTTGTTAGTAACAGATGACATTCGTATTCTGACTATCTCTGAAACTCACTTAGATAATACCTTTGATGATACAGTGGTAGCAATACATGGTTATAACATCTACAGAAAAGGGTAGTTACAAAGAGCACAGGAATGAAATCATCAACATGTATTGATCACATCTTTACTAATGCTGCAGAAATTTGCTTTAAAGCAGTATTCAAATCCATCGGATGTAGTGATCACAATATAGTAGCCATATATGTAGGAAAACCAAAGTTCTAAAGGCTGGGCCTAATATAGTGTATAAAAGGTCATACAATAAGTTTTGTAGTGATTCTTATGTTAATGATGTAAAGAATATTTGCTGGTCTGTGGTTTGTAATGAGGAGCAACCAGATGCTGCCCTTGACACATTTACATTTTAGTCATTTTTAGTAGACGCTCTTATCCAGAGCAACTTACAGTTAGTGAGTGCATAAATTTTTCATACTGGCCCCCCGTGGGAATCGAACCCACAACCCTGGCGTTGCAAGCGCCATGCTCTACCAACTGAGCTACAGGAGTGGCTTATTCAAGTTATTATTAAATTGCTTATACCAGTTACTAATAAGCATGCACCCATTACGAAAATGACTGTAAAAACTGTTAAATCCCCTTGGATTGATGAGGAAAAAGTGTATGGTTGAAAGGGATGAGGCAAAAGATATGGCAGCACAACCAATTGGCAAACGTACTGCAAATTGAGAAATCATGTGACTAAACTGAATAAAAGGAAGAAGAAACTATACTATGAAACAAAGATAAATTATATAAAGAATGACAGTAAAACGCATTGGAGCACCTTAAATGAAATTTTGGGCAAAAAGGCAAACTCAGCTCCATCATTCATTGAATCAGATGCCTCATTCATCTCAAAACCCACTGATAAGGCCAACTACTTTAATGATTTTTTCATTGGCAAGATTAGCAAATTTAGGCATGACATGCCAGCAACAAACGCTGACACTACACATCCATCTGACCAAATTATGAAAGACAAGCATTGTAATTTTGAATTCCGTAAAGTGAGTGTGGAAGAGGTGAAAAAATGATTGTTGTCTATCAACAATGACAAGCCACCGGGGTCTGACAACTTGGATGGAAAATTACTGAGGATAATAGCGGACGATATTGCCACTCCTATTTGCCATATCTTCAATTTAAGTCTACTAGAAAGTGTGTGCCCTGGAGGGAAGCAAAAGTCATTGTGCTACCCAAGTATA